CATCTGTACTGAGATCTGGCGCCCTCCTCTGGCGTGCGGGCATACATCGAGGCAGAATGTTGTATACATAATAAATAAATAAATCTTTAAAAAAAAAAAAAAACACTTGCTCTGAGCATGGTGGTGAATGCACTCAGCACCCAGGAGGAAGAGGCAAGATGATCTCTGTGAATCCAGCTTGGTCTACAGAGTGTGTTCCAGGGCAGCCAAGGCTATTAAAAAAGAGACTATTGGGCTGGAGAGATGGCTCAGAGGTTAAGAACATTGACTGTTCTTCCAGAGGTCCTGAGTTCAATTCCCAGCAACACATGGGGATTTACAACCATCTGTAATGAGGTCTTGTGCCCTCTTCTGGTTGCAGGCAGAAATACAGGCAGAACAATGTATACATAATAATAATAAAAAAGAATATCTCCACGCCCCCAAAAAGAAAATCTACTTCAATAAATGCTACCAACATGACTCAGTGGTTACAATGTTTGCTTTATTTGTGTTTGAATCTTAGTACCCATGTAAAGAAGCCAGGTATGGCAGTGCTTATCTGTAACTCTAGAGCTGAGGAACTGAGAAGGTAGATCCCCAGGGCCAGCAAACTCCGGGTTAGTTAGATTGTCTCAAAAATAAGGTAGAGAAGCAACTGAGGAAGATATCTGCCTTTATTTTCTATTGCTATAATAAAACACTGACCAAAAATAATTGGGGCAGAGTTAATTTCATATTACACCTCTCAGGTTATACTCCATCACTGAGGTAAATCAGGGCAAGAACTGGAGAAGAAACCATGGAGAAACACTGGTTATTGGCTTGTTCCTCTTGCCTTCTTATACAACCTAGAACCATCAGCCCAAGGGTGGTACAGCCCATAGTGGGTTGAGTCTACCCACATCATTAATCAAGAAAATGCCTTTCCTACAGGCTAATTTGATTGGAGGTGTTTTCTCAATTCAGGTTTCTTCTTCCCAAATGACTCCAGCTTGTATCAAACTGAAAAGTATGAAACTATCTTAGTCAATGTGCAATGTCTTACTAATGTCCCTTAGTAAAGGCACACCATGACCACAACATCTAACTGGGGCTGGCTTACAGTTCAGGGGGTTAGTCCACGGTCAGCATGGCGGGAGCATGGCGGCATGCAGTCAGACATGGTGCTGGAGAAGTAGCTGAGAAGTCTACATCCAAATCTGCAGGCAGCAGGAGAGAGATCCTGGGCCTAGCTTGAGTTTTTGAAACCTCAAAGCCCACCCCCAGTGACATACTTCCTCCAACTAGGCCATACTTTCCAATCCTTTCAAAGAGCGCCACTCCCTGATGACCAGTCATTCAAATCTATAGGAACCATTCCCATTCAAACTACCACACTAAGCAGCACAGCATCCAGTCAGCCTCCCCAGATATGGCCTCACATCTGGAAGATGACTCATTCTTAAACTGGGTCTCCCCACCATTTTCTTTTCCTTTTTTTCTTTCTTTTTTGTTTTTGTTTTTCAAGTGCTAGAATTAAAGGCATGTGCTATCACCACCTGGCTGTTTTATTTGTTTCTTGGCTCTTTTTCCCTCCTAATCCACAATTACAGATTTCTTTACAGTTGTTTTTGCTCTGTACTTCCTGCAATCTCACCTTATTCCAGAGATGTCACCATCCCTATGAAGAAGACCTCTAAATTTCATTTTTTTCTCAGAAACATTTTTTCCACATCCCAGAATTACTTATAGCACTGGAACTTTAAACTTGAAATAATGAATATTTTTAAAATTAGTTTTATTGCACTTTCTTATGTGTGTGAATTCAAGTGGGCACACCTCTGCCATGGCTCATGTACCAGAGCTCACATCTGGCTATCAGAAGACAATGTCCAGGAATCTGATTTCTCCTTTTATGATGTGGGTTCTTTGGGTCAAACTCAGGTGGCCACGCTTGATGGCAGACATATGCACCTCCTGAGTCATTTCACCAGCCCAAAAGAATCAACTCCGATGGCCTCCTAAACTGTTCCTTTTTCTTCCATTTTCAAATTTTATCAATACCACGCATTTGTCAAGTAATTCAGGCTTTGGAATTTGGGGAATCTAGGTTTCCACATATCTCCAAGATTTTATTTTATTTTGAGACAGGGTTTTGTGTGGCTCAGATTGGCCTTGAACATTCCCGGTAACTGAAGCTCACCTTTAAATTCCTAATTCCATAATTCCAAGTGCTGGTATTAGGGGTATGAGCCACCAAATCCACAAAGCAAACTATCACTCATCACATTCAGGGATGAAAAGAGCTAGATAATTCTCATGCTTGTCTTAGCTGTACCCAATAACTGAGAAGGAAAGACAAGAAGAGAAGCAGGTTAAGGGATGGTAATGAGTTTGTGTAAGAACTGGTGAATGTATGGTGCGAAAATTCAAAGTTACATAGTTGAATATGTGAGTGGGTTTAAAGCCAAGAAGACTATAAATTTCTATCAAATGTGTACTGATAGAGAACAAATCACTCTAGTTTGACAGCTAAAATTACCAAAAGCTTACTCAGTTTTTGTGAGAAAGCTGGGAACAGCACATCCGATGGTTCTGATTGGAGTCTCTCATGTGCCCACATAGAAGGCTCCACTTCCAACTTCATGTGTATGACTACTAGCTGGTTGTTAAAGCAGCTTCACAATATGGCACCTGGCTTCCTCTCTGGCCTAGAATTCACTGCAATCCTCCTGCCTTAGGCTTCTAAGTAGTGGTATAACAAGTACCATGCCAGGCTTGGCATCCTATCACCTTCTTAATACTGTATTAGAAAGAACCCAGTCACTAAATCAGCCCACACTGAAAGGTATGTATTGATGTTTCATGTGGGAATAGGAATCTCAGTTTCAGTTCTTTCACCTTGCAATATCACACTAGATTAACTTTACTAAAGCACATTATTAGCATTAGTATTCTTATGATTTCTCTCAAGTGTGACCACAGGTTAACAACTTTGTCAGTTTTAAAGCCTATATCCCAGCCCTCCATTTTGCAATTCTCTGGCTTTAGTCACTTGCTGTTTCCAAACACCTCCAGGATCTATCATCTGAATTCATGCCATCTTCTTAGCCCAAAAGTCTGGTGCTTGGGGCTGGAGAGATGGCTCAGCAGCTAAGAGCATTGGCTGTTCTTCCAGACCTGCGTTTGTTTCCCAGCATTCACATGGTGGTTTACAGCCAACCGTAATTCCAGTTCTAGAAGGATTCAACACCCTTTTCTGGCCTCCACCAGCACTGCACACATGTGGTGCACAGACATACACGCAAGCAAAAGACCCGTACACATAATCTTTTTAAAAAAAAGTCTAGGGGGCTGGAGAGATGGCTCAGAGGTTAAGAGCATTGCCTGCTCTACCAAAGGTCCTGAGTTCAATTCCCAGCAACCACATGGTGGCTCACAACCATCTGTAATGGGGTCTGGTGCCCTCTTCTGGCCAGCAGGCATACACACAGACAGAATATTGTATACATAATAAATAAATAAATATTAAAAAAAAAAGTCTAGTTCTCAAACAATGGATGCTCTTTGGAGTGTGTTGGTGTGTAAAGAAGCCTGGATACCTCAAGCCCAATGTAACAGCTCATTGCAATATGCTAAAAGTTCATCTTATAGTAGATTCTAAAACAGACAAGGAGCCGGGTGGTGGTGGCGCGTGCCTTTAATCCCAGCACTCGGGAGGCAGAGGCAGGCGGATCTCTGTGAGTTCGAGACCAGCCTGGTCTACAGAGCTAGTTCCAGGACAGGCTCCAAAGCCACAGAGAAACCCTGTCTCGAAAAACCAAAAAATAAAAATAAAAAAATAAAAAAAATAAAACAGACGAGGAGAAGCCAATGACTTTTTCCAAAATGTTTAGTAGGGGTTGACTTAAGTCAAGATCCTTATTCGACACCAGCAGGAGAGCATTATTCCTTCAGAGAAGGGCCGCTTTTGGAAACAAAAGGCAACGGATAACATTCTACTTCGTTTCTTCAGCTCTCGAAAAACTTCACACAGCTAGTTGAGAAAAGCCTGTCACTATCCTCAACAGTTAGTCCATAGCTCCTAAACAAACTATGGAGCTGTGCTGGTTGGGGGGGGCGGGGGCTCACTCACTCACCCTTGTAATCCCAGCCTCTGGGACGCAGGGGAGGAGGATTGAGTCAAGTTTCAGGACAACCTGAGCTAAATAAATAGCAAGCTCTTGACCAAAAGTAAAATAAAATAAATAGAGCGTGTTGGCGTACGCCTTTAACTTCAGCACTGGGGAGGCTGAAGCAGGAGGATCTCTGAGTTCGAGGCCAGTCTGGTCTACAGAGAAGGGTTCTAGGATATTCAGAACTCTCAAAACAAACAAACAAAATAAAATAAAAACTAATGGTACCACTCAGAGCTTCCGATACTGAGAACAACATCGTTGTTATAAGGCAGCACAATAGGTACACTCGGCAACTACTCCTAATTTAAAAAGAAAACGTAAATTGTATCTATTCGTAAGGAGGAAATAAATAGAGTATGCGTCTAACAGTCCTGGAAGCTTCTAGGAGGTGGTGGTCTCTGCGGAAGGGAGAGAAGCAGGAAGGAGGCATTCTGGAGTACTGCGCTACTTACTGGTAGTCCAGGGCTTACCTTGAGCCGACGCTCCGAGACCCACTCATCTTCTTCTTCCTCACTTAGCTTCACGCGCCTGGTCCTAGCGGTTCCTCATTATTTCGGGGAACAGCACCAACTGGGGGAAAGCGACACCAGAAGCCACAACGGGGTGGAGGAGCCTCGGCTTCCCGCTCTTCAGGGGCCGCACGGGTTGAGGACAGGGCTCCAGTCTCTTCTCAGGACGCGCTCCCGCTTTCCTCCGTGGAGGAGCGGCAGGGCTTGCGAGGCGCGGAGCCTTAGGAGGAGCCGGGCGCAAAGCGCCGCCTCAACGATGGCTCTGACCCCTGCCGGCTCCTTCACCACCAACTACACCGAAATCGAATCCCCCGCCTTGCGGAAATGAAGCACTAGGCCCCCGTGCGGCCCCACCCCTTATCTTCCGGTTCCGGGCCGCGCGCGTTCCTAGCTCCCGGGTTCTGCACGAGGCTAGGGAGAATCATGGAGAGCTCTGTGTCCGCCTCCACCCCGGCCTCAGCGGACACGCCGACCGCTCTGGAACATCTGGACAGAGAGCAGGCGAGTGATTGGGGGACAGCGACTTGGAAGCAGGGTAGTTGGGGCCCGCGTGAGCCATGGGTGCGGAGCGAGAGGCCTGGAAACCCAGAGCGGGCCCGAGAGTGCGTGTGCGCCCCGGAGCCCGAAGGATGTCGCCGAAAACGCACCCCGGCGGGTTCGCTTCCCTCGGGCCTGTGACCGTTTGCCTCTTGTTGAAATTGGGCAAGAGCGCTCCATTCTGCAGGGTTACAGGACGCTTGTACGTGCACGTGCGAAAAGTAGCGTGCTTAGGGCCGGGCGTGTGTCGCTCTGAAAGTGCTCCCAGCGCTATGCTCTTTTCCTGATGTTCCCTCTGTCGTGGAGGGCAGGAGAAGCTTCGGTAGAGCTTGTAAGGACACCTTGTAAACAGATTTTGGGAGTTCTTGATGGATTCAGAAATTGCACTGGGTTCAAATTCTAAGAGCTCAATACACTGATTGAAGTTTGCTCAATAGCCGGGCTGTGGTGGCTCACGCCTTTAATGCCAGCACTAGAGAGGCAGAGACAGGCGGATCTCTTTGAGTTCGAGGCCAACCTGATCTACAGAGTGAGTTCCAGGACAGGTTCCAAAGCTACAGAGAAACCCTGTCTCGAAAAAGAGAGAGAGAAATTTGACCGGTAAAAAGAAAGAGTAGCAAAGGAAACAAACCTGTTTGTGTTTATGGGAGCAATGGTTAACCTAAATTGAGAAAATTAATTTATTTCTGTGTTTATGCAGATAAGAAAGGCAGTGGAAGTTCTGCTTGCACACTCCAAGTCAAGAAAAAACAATAATGAGTTACTTTCGAATGGGAATGAGAATTTATTTTTAATGGTGGTATTATGGAAAATTCCAAAGAAAGAACTGCGGGCCCGAATGTAAGTTCTAATTTACCTGTTCTGGGTTTTTTGTTTTGTTGTTGTTATTTGGCTTTTCTTCCTTCCGTTCTTTTTTTTTTTTTTTTTTTAATGGTCTCATTACAAAGGCTTGCCTGACCCCAAACTCAGGAGTAGATCTGCCTCTGCCTCTTGAGTGCCTGGGCTTTAAATTTTGAGACTTACTTAGAGTGTATCTATTTCTGAGTATATGAATGTGTACCACATATCTCCAGTGCTTGCTGAGGCCAAAGGAAAGTGTCAGATCACCTGGTACCGGAGAGACAAGAGGTTTTGAGCAGCCCAGTGTGAGTACAGGAAACTGAACTAAGACCATCTGGGAAAGCAACAGATGGTCTGATCTGCTGAGTGCCCTCGGTCCTGCTTGGGAGCCCTCTTCCCCCACCCCCATATTCTAAGATATTTTTAGAGCCAGGTGTGGCAGAGACAGGCAGATCTCTGAGTTCAAAGTCAGTCTGGTCTACAGAGCTAGTTCTAAAACAGCCAGGGCTACACAGAAACCGTGTCTTGAAATTAAATAAAAATATTTTATAGGTTACATTTATTTTGGGGGTTGGGGGTGGGGCACACATGTGGAAGTCCGAGAATAAATATAATTTCTCATCTGCTGTGTTGGTCCTGGAATTGAGCTGTAAGCGTGTGTCTTTACCCACTGGTTCATCCCGCCTCCCCAAGGCATCTATGTGTGTCAGCTTCCTCTGATGTAGAGCTGACATAATTGTGTCAGCGTCCTCTGATGTAGAGCTGACATAATTGTGGTCACTCTCCTACTCTCACTTGACCAAGTGTCTTATAGATTATGTTCTGCTTGTTCTTTTTATCAAAGCAATATGTAGTATAGCTTGTTTTTCTCCAAAAAATGATGGCTCGGGGAGGTTTAAAGGGAAAAATACTCTAAAATGTGGGGGGGTGTGTGTGCAGAAGCTTAGGGGACCCTGGAGAGGATCAGATTCCCTGGAACTTGAGTTACAGATGATGTAAACTGCTATGTGGGTGCTGGGAACCAAACGTGGGTCCTCTGAAAGAGTTACCAGTGCTCTCAAATGCTGGTCCAGCCCCACTTCACTTTAATCTATATGTCTGTAAACACATATGTTTATGTATGTATGTACACACGTGTGAAAACACGTGCTGGGTATGTGAAGATATTCTTGGGTCTCTTCCTTGGGAATGCCATCCACCCCCTTTTTAGGCGGGTCTCATTTGCTTAGAGCTCATCAGCTAGGGTTTACCACTGAACCCTACGGATCCTCGTGTATGCACCTTCCTCTGAGATAGGTCATGTTCGTTACCACCCTTCTCTCTGACATAGGTTCAGGGGATGAGCACAGATCCTTGTTTGTACAGTGAGTGCTTTAAGTTGTCTCCCGGGAGATGGAGCATGATTCCTTCCTGTGCTGCGGGACTGCTCTACAGTGAGCTACACTCCCAGCCCTCTGCATCCTTTATTCCCATATCTTTGTTCAGTTTTTCACTTGTGGGACGTCCTTTTTTTCTTTTTTTCTGTTCTTCTCCCACCTGTCTTAATTGATTTGATTTATTCTGGTTTTGGTGTGGGTTTTTTCTGGGCTGGCCTGGCACTTTTCCACATTCCTTCCTCATGTTAAAACTGGAATTGTCAGCATGCCTGACTTGCTTTCCTTCAGAGCAGTATTTGCTTAAGTAGAAAATAATCAAGCCAGACAGTGGTGGCGCACGCCTTTAATCCCAGCACTCCGGAGGCAGAGGCTGGCGGCTCTCTGCGAATTCAAGGCCAACCTGGTCTACAGAGCTAGTTCCAGGACAGGCTCCAAAGCTACAAAGAAACCCTGTCTCGAAAAACAAGAAAGAAAATAAAAGTGTAGGTAAATGGGGCTGACAGGATGGTTCAGGTAGATATGCTCGCCCCCAGTCCAAGTGACCTGAGTAAAATCTCTTGGCACACGTGGTGGAAGGAGAGAAACAGTTCCCAAAACTTGTCCTCTGAACCCACATGTGTGCCATGGTACACCAACAAAAATTTTTTTAGCCGGGCGGTGGTGGCGCACGCATGTAATCCCAGCACTCGGGAGGCAGAGGCAGGCGGATCTCTGTGAGTTCGAGACCAGCCTGGTCTACAGAGCTAGTTCCAGGACAGGCTCCAAAACCACAGAGAAACCTTGTCTCGAAAAAACCAAAAAAAAAAAAAAAAAAAAATTTTAGATGAGAGTAAGTGTGTTTTGGATAATACTTTCTCTGGAATCATTGCTCTTTGTGTTTTGTCATTGTTTTACAGGTCTTTGCCTCATAGTATTTTAACAGATTCATCAGAAGTCTGTTTGTTTACCAAAGATGAGTGTGAGTCTCCTGAACAGACAGAATGTTTCTATAAAGCACTTTTGAAAAAACATGGCGTGAACAGCGTCTCTCGGGTAGGAATCATGTTGCTGCTTTGAAGTCCTTTCAGAGATCTAATTGGAAAGAAATCTGATACACTGCTATATTTTTTTAGTCTATTTTTCTCTTTAGTTTTTCTTTATGGGTATGTGTATATGCCCCTAAGCTGCATGTCTGTACAGTGTGGATACAGATGTGCTTGAAGACCAGAGAGGGTTTCAGTTCCCTCAGAGCTGGAGTTACAAGTGCTTGTGAGTTGCCTGATGGGTATAATTTTTTTTATTTCTCCTCATACTAGGAATTGAATCCGGAGCCTTATATATGCTAGTCTAATGCTCTGTCCCAAACTTCCAATGTAGATCAGGCTGGCCTCCAACTTAGAGGTATCTTTCAATTGTGGAATTAAATTACCCCAGGCTTGGATTAAAGTTGTACACCAGGTTCTGCCTCCCCACCCCCATCTCTAAAACATTTGCTTTTTAAAAACATGCCTGGGTGTTTTGTCAGCGTGTGTCTGTGCGCCTGATAGGTACAGGAACCCATGAAGGGCAGAACAGAGTCTTGGATTCCCTTGTGCTAGAGGGGGGTACACTTGGCTGTTAGCCACTATGTGGGTACTGAATCAAACGCAGGTCCTCTATAAGAGCAGCCAGTGCACTTAACCTCTAAGCTATCTCTCCAGCTCCTGTTTTACTTTGTTTTGAGATAGCATCTTCCTCGATTGCTTGGGCTAGCCTCAAAGTTAGCATTATTTGGCACAGTGCTTGGCAAATTTTAGGTGCTCAGGAATTCATTAAACTGAGAAGGGTGTGAGTCTAGGACTAACCTGAATGGGAAGCGCTAAAGATTTCTTCTTTTGTGTCAGGTTCTTAAGGTTTTTAGTTTTGCCTTTTTTTTTGTTTTCTAGATTATCCCTTTTAGAACTTTAAAAACAGAATATAAAGCCTATGAAGCCAAGCTCCGCCTCCTGGGTAGCTTTGACATTTTCATTGCTGATGAAAGAATTAGACGGCATTTGCCTACACACATAGGAAGACACTTCTATCAGAGGAAGAAGTAAGTTGATTTGCAATGACTGGGCTTCAGTGGTAGGAGTTTTTATCTTTGTGGTGTTCTGACATCTGTGTGTTTTTACAGAGTTCCAGTATCTGTAAACCTTATGGCCAAGAATCTGTCCAAAGAGATTAAGAACTGTATCACAGGGACTGTCTTAAACATCTCCAAACAAGGTTCTTGCAGGTAACAAGAGGAACATCTATGCAAACCTTTAAACTTTATATGTTATGGCAATCACATCCATTTTTTTTTTCTTTAAAGAGTGGTGTTAATGAAACCAGATCCTTCTATTAAAACTCTAAGAGACCAGATGGTTGTAGATCTTTGGGTAGATCTCTGAGTTCGAGGCCAGCCTAAAATACAAAGCAAGTTCCAGGACAGCCAATCTCTGTGAGTTCAAGGCCAACCTGTCTACAGAAGTAGGTTCCTGGACAGAATCCAAAACTACAGAGAAATTTATCTTGAATGAACAACTAAAATATGGTCTTCTAGGAAAATTTTTCTTAGAAATGACTTTAGTCCCCTATTAACAAGTTCATTGTCATTGTGATCTGATTTTCCTATGTATTCACCCCAGTAGGACACCAGCTGCAGACCAAAGAAATGCTTCTCTAGGTCTGTGGCGTTACTCAAAGAAGCACATCTGACTAAAGCAGCTAAGTAACTGAAGGCCGTGTACCACTGAAGTTCTCTGTCCAGCTAGCTATAGGCAACTCAGTGCAAAGAGCTTACATAGCCTTGGGGAAAAGCCTCCTCAGTCTTGTCCCTGTGTAGACCTGCTGATATCCCCCCTTTCAGGGGCATGTTTCAGCTGAGAGGAAGGAGCTACATACTTAAACCTTGGGTTCATTCTCACCCAGGGTCCTGAACTGTTTGCAGCCTTACATCTAGACTAAAGGAAAGACCTTTGGAGTCGACAAGATGGTTCAAGTTTAAGGCTGGCGACTTGTTTTTGATCCCCAGGACCCACATGGTAGAAGGAGAGTCAACACCTGCATGGATCTTCTGACCTCCACATACTGTGAGGCACCAACATTCACAACACATACACACACAAACTCCAGTACAGTTCCTAGCATGCATGTTAGATGTGGCTTACAACCACCTGTAATTCTACCTCCTGGGGGGGTTGAGTGCCTATGGGCTAAAAGCTTATGTGAACAGACTCAGACATACAAACATATAATTTAAAATTTTTTAATCCTAGCATGGGCAAGGCAGAGGCAGATAAATCTCTGAGTCAGATACAAACTTGGTCTACATAAAGAATTTCAGGCTAGCTAGAGCTATCTACTGAAAACCTGTCTCAAAATAAATTTTAAATAAATAAATTTTGAAAAGCTTTTATATAGGGCTGGAGAGATGGCTCAGAGGTTAAGATCACTGACTGCTCTTCCGGAGGTCCTGGGTTCAAATCCCAGCAACCACATGGTGGCTCACAACCATCTGGTGCCCTCTTCTGGCCTGCAGGGATACATGGAGGCTGGACACTGTGTACATAATAAATTTCTTTAAAAAAAATATATATATATAATGTAATAAGATGCCTTTGTTCTTTTGATATGGGGTTTCACTGTATAATTCTAGCTAGCCTGGAACTCACAGAGATACTCTGGCATCTCCACTGAATGTTGGGATTAAAGGCATGTCCCCTCAGACACACCCAAAAACATGGGTGCCATTATACCCAGTAAGGATAATGATTACCTATCAGCCTTATGTGGTCATTGATGGTGTCAGTGTTGCCTCCTACTTGCAAGAGGGAAGCACCCCTGGTTGGTTTCAGTTAAGTAAGAAGAATTGTCATAGGCTGCTGTCATAGAGCCACAAAGATTGGAGAAGCCGAGTATAGTGACTCGCATGGTCCTAACATGGGGAGGCCTGTGTGGCATAGTGATTCTGTGTTTCTTTCATATAGCTCTTCTCTTTGCCTGGCACAATGGCTTCCTGTCTTCTCTCTCACCCTGCTGTTCACCACAAACAGCTCTGTGTATGCATGCACATGCAGAATAGACAGCTAGCCAGTGGCTGGCTGAGAAAAGGAGCTAGTCAGTCAACTGCTGTCCAGTTGACACTTCACAGACTGCCCCACAGTGAACCTCTAGTGGTGGGCCCTGCTATAGGATCCCTCCTGGGCTTCCCAATCATTGCCTATTCCTTGACCTTTGATAAAGTATGCTATCTGTAAGAAGTAGGAACTCTATATTTGTGAGGGGCCCATCTCGATGGATATGGAACTATGAGGTTGCAGTGACCCTTGAGTGATTCTGCTCAGAACAACTTTAGGGACCAGTATTGTGGGTGTTAGGGCCGTTTTTGGGGTCAGTTCTCTATACACTGAGTTTACAGGAGTTGAACTGCCACTCAAAGCCTCCATGACTTAAGTTCAGGCTGTCAGGCTTCTGTGGCAAGTTCCTTTACTGGCTGGGCCATCTCATGGTTCAACCTGTGTTTCTTCAGCACGGTGGTATTCTACTTTAGGTAATAGAGTTCTAAAATACAAAAGTTAAGAGTCTCTATTTATTAAATTCTAGTGCTGTGCGTGTTGGTCACACTGGAATGAAGGCTCAGCACATCCTTGAAAACATCCTGGCTGTCTCAGAAATGCTTTCAGAAAAACTGCCAGAGGTATAGTATTGTGAGTGCTTGAGTCGTGACGTTGAGGGAAGCAGCAGTGTGTGTGTAGATAACATTATTTCTTTGTTTCAGAAATGGCAGAGTGTGAAACTTTTGTTCCTAAAAACTGAGAAGTCGGTTTCCCTTCCCATTTTTTCCTCATTTGTCACATGCCAGGATGAAAACAACATCATGTCCTTCAATAGCCTGAGGAAAAAGGTTAGTATAAGTTAGAATATTGGGTGGGGTGGGCATAATGATCAAAGTGTAAGCCAGGTGATAGGGCACACCTTTAATCGCAGTGTTCAGGAGAGAGATGTTACATGAAGGGGGTCCCTTGTTTGTCCCGGTCGCCCAGCTTGCTTAGCCCCAAAATAACCACACAGAAACTGTATTTACTAAAACACTGCTTGGCCATTAATGCTAACTTCTTATTGGCTAACTCTTACATCTTAATTTAACCCATTTCTATTAATCTGTGTATTGCTGCTTTGCTGTGGCTTACCTGCTAAAGTTTCGACCAGTGTTTGTCTCCTGCAGCTTCATGGCATCTCTCAGATTCTACTTCCTTCTCCCATGCTATAGGCCAAGGCAGTTTCTTTATTCATTAACTAATAAAAGCAACGCATAGACAAAAGGACCTCCCACACCAGGGAGCGTGGGAGCATGCAGGTAGACATGGTCCTAGAGGAGTTGAGAATTCTACATCCTGATCCACCTCCTGTAGTAGGAAGAGAGAGACACTGGGTCTGGCTTGGGCTTCTTCCAACAAGGCCCTGTGTTCTAAACCTATGTTCAAATAGTGCCATATTCTAATGACAGATTCTATAGGGGCCTTTTTTTTTTTTTTTTTTTTTATTGGGAGGCAACAGGGAAGGAGCCTCTTTCATCAGCAGGAGTATTCACAGGTTCTTCAGCCACTCCAAGCTTGGGCCTGAGGGTCTTGGGGGTGGCTGGGCACATCAGGCATGTTCCCATTATCTCGTACAGGGACTGGTAGTTGTAGGGTGTTGCCTGGTTGATCAGGGAAGCATACTTGGTGTAGGGGCTGATTAAGGGCATAATTATAACGAGGCCTCAGACTGAGAAGGACACCACCAGCACCGGCTCCTTGGCCCAGGCATTCTTGAGAAAAGTGGTGATTCTCGCGGCCATCTTCTCTAGGGGCCGTTCTTTTTTTTTTTTTTTTTTTTTTTTTAAATATTTATTTATTTATTTATTAAGTATACAATATTCTGTCTGTGTGTATGTCTGCAGGCCAGAAGAGGGCACCAGACCTCTTTACAGATGGTTGTGAGCCACCATGTGGTTGCCGGGAATTGAACTCAGGACCTTTGGAAGAGCAGGCAATGCTCTTAACCACTGAGCCATCTCTCCAGCCCTCTAGGGGCCGTTCTTATTCAAACCCCCTTACAGATTTCATTCTCTTAAATTGCTGTTGTGGGATACTCGATCACACTTTGGGCCCTGAAGTTTTATTTCCGTTAATGAAATCAAAGCAACTTTGAGTCAGGAGGCCAAATAGCAACCAGTTGATGGAAAGTCATTCTAGAGTGTAAGACTAGAGATATGCACAGGAAGTAATAGGGAGGGACTTAGTGCAATGTGGGTTCTTTTGGTGGAGTGGAAGTACACTCAGAGATGCCAGCAAGGAGAGGTTAGCTAATGGCTACTTAACCTCTCTGAGCCAGTAGGTTTTCACCCCAGCCTTTGAGTCCCAAGACTTGCTGATAAATAGAACGATAGAGATTTAACTAAAAACTCTATCTGGCAGCAGTGACATAGCTGGCAGAATTCCAGCCACGTGCAGGCTGAAGGGCTGGGCACTACTAGAGAAGCAGCAGTGGAAGTGCGGTCCCTGAGCAGAGGATGGAAGTTGTCCTCGCTTCTTGGAATACGCTTACAGGTCATCCTGGTTGGGTTTTTGTTTTTGTTTTCCAGTTTATCTTTCGTTTTGCTTTATTTAGGGGTCCCCCAGGGTTTCTCTGTTCTTTGGAGCCTGTCCTGGAACTTGCTCTGTAAACCAGGATGGCCTAGAACTCAACAAAGATCTGCCAGTCTCTGCTTCCTGGGTGCTGGAATTCAAAGCATGAGCCACCACCTTCTTTTTTATATATATATATTTATTTATTTATTATGTATACAATGTTCTGTCTGTGTGTATGTCTGCAGACCAGAAGAGGGCACCAGACCTCATTACAGATGGTTGTGAGCCACCATGTGGTTGCTGGGAATTGAACTCAGGACCTTTGGAAGAGCAGGCAATGCTCTTAACCACTGAGCCATCTCTCCAGCCCCGAGCCACCACCTTCTGACTGTTTAGAATTTCTTATTTTATGTATATGAATTACGTTCTGAGTATTCTGCACCCTGGGGGGGTGGGCAAGGAAGTCAGAAGAGGGCATCAAATTCCCAGGAAATGGTCTCCAAAGTTATTGTGAGCCACTATGTTGATTATGGTAATCCAGCGAGGTCTTCTTCAAGAACAAATGCTCTTAACCACTGAGCCATCTCTCCAACCACCTTTTGTTTTGTTGGGGCAAAGATTTCTATCACCACCATGCATGTAAAATTTCTATTGGCCCTTTTATTTACTTGTTTATTCATGGTTTGGTTTGGTATTTTTAGACAGGGTCTCACCATGTATACATGTCTGTATACTAGACAAACCTTGAACTCACAGAGATCCATCTGCAACTTAGAAGCACAATCTAACAATGTAAAGAGCAAGCCTTTTGATACTGCAGCTGGTTGTCTCTACCCATAGTCAGCTAACACTGAAATCACGATGACAAGTTATCTCACCCTTGCTGGGACCACTCTGCTACATGCTGAAGCATTCCCAACCTGGTGACCTGTGGGATTTGTGAAGAGCTGGTGCTGATAGCAGCAACTGGGTGAATCAACTCTGCAGATAACCTTCCTTCTTCCTTCCAGAATCCTCTTTATTACTATGCTGCTACTAGAATATACTGCCTAAAATTAGGATGGGTCTTCCCAAACCCATTTAAGGAATCGATCCCAACACTTGGAAGGCAGAGGCAAATGGATCTCTGAGTTTGAGGCCAGCCTGGTCTATATAGTGAGTTCCAGGACAGTCAGGGCTACACAGAGAAACCCTGTCTTGGAAAAAACCAAAGATAAACAGTTAAAGGTACAGGAGTGATTGGCAGGAACCTTGAAAGTATGCCAACCAGGCCGGGCGCTGGTGGCGCACGCCTTTAATCCCAGCACTCGGGAGGCAGAGACAGGCGGATCTCTGGGAGTTCAGCCTGGTCTATAAGAGCTAGTTCTGGGATTGGCACCAAAGCTACAGAGAAACCCTGTCTTGAAAAACCAAAAAAAAAAAAAAAAAGAAAAAGAAAGTATGCCAACCACCTAAAGCACATTGAAGACTGGAGGTTCAAGGCTAGGGTGATGACTCCATTGGTGAAAGTGTTTGCCGTGCAAACTTGATGTCTGAGTGTGATCCCAATTCTGGGGCGGTGGAGAAAAATGGATCCCTATGGCCAGTCAGCCTAGCGTAACCTAATTGTCAAACCGCAGATCCCAATAAGAAAGTGGGTGGCTCCTAAAAAGCCTCAGTTGACCTATGGTGTACACATACACACTTACACAAAAGATGGGTGGGTCAGTAATGATTCAAACCAAACCAGGGCTTAAGTGGGGATGGGTTTTCCTTTTTTATTTATTTATTTTTTGGTTTTTGGAAACAGGGTTTCTCTGTGGCCTTGGAGCCTGTCCTTGGAACTTGCTCTTGTAGACCAGGCTTACCTCGAACTCTGCCTAAGTGCGGGGATTAAAGGCGTGCGTCACCACCCTGTGGGTTCTGCTTCCCTGATGTAGGTGCTAGGGTTTAATTTCTCTCTCTTACCTTCTGCGTCTCATTCTCGTGCTTACAATTTGGTGATGGGTATTGAACTGTTGAGCCCTTGCAGGGCCTTGCGTATAGTAAACATGTACCCTACCGCTAAACTCTCTAATTCTTTTTGAGACAGAATCTGAGTCTTTAGTACATAGACCAAATTGGCCTTTGAGTTTGCCATCCTCCTATCACAGCTTCCCAGCTAGCTAAGAGTGTAAGCATGTACTAATATTCTGCTGTTATTTCACCTACCATCTGTGTGGTGGGTAGGTGGGTGTATAGCTCGGAGTCAAGGTAGAGAGCCGGTTGTGGTAGAGAGTGTCAGTGATTTATCTTGTGACAGGTAGGTAGGAGAGGTGCAAGGGCAACCCCCTTGGGTACACATTGAAACACCTGTCACCCCACAAACAAGTAGAGCTGAGTTTTAAGTGCTTGGAAATGGGCATTCTGTATGCATGGTCAAGGACACTGTAGGGAGTTTATGAATAATCAGAACTGTAGCTTCTCAATCTGTTTTCTCTGAATGTTTTTCCTACCAATCTTTTATCTGTTGTTTTGGTAGGTAATAAAGAAAAAAATGAATTATGAAAAAGAAAAGTCGAAGAAGAAAAACAAAATGTTAAGGAAAAGCTCCAAAAAGGCTGCATCTCAAGGTAAAACTAGCAGTGCTCCAGTGAAGGCCCCAAGATCCCAGAAGAAAAAGACCAGCAAAGTAAAAACACAGCCTGAAGGGACAGACGAGAGTGAAGAAGCAATCCCACAGCTGGTCCCAATAGGAGAAACACCGAATAAAGAAAACCTGGAGGTATTTTTATTGGCATTGGTAGTTGTTGTGTGTCAGGCAAGCAGGGCTAAGTGATAGAGTCTTAGTTTTCGGGCTGTAGGAAGGCAGGTACTGATTGACTTTATCCTGAAACATCTTGAGTAATGTAAAAGGCCTGTGTTACTCTATAACAGTTCATCTTCTAGGAGCGTAACTCACATGTGTGGGTATTCATTGTAGCAGGTCCATAAAGTGGGCAATCCAAACACGTAAACATAGGATGTGTCTGCTGCCAGCACAGTACAGCATACTGGTGTGAAGTTCTTGGTTTTGAGACAAGGTCTTGTTGTGTTGTTAGCCTGGGCTTACCTCCAAAGTGTTAGGATTGCTGTCACTGTACTAGTCAGCCTTTATTATTTTTAATAAAAGGAAAATAGAAGTAGGGATGTATTCTAAAATAAAAACTGGGTATTGGTGGGGCACGCCTTTAATCCCAGCACTCAGAAGCAGAGGCAGGCAGATCTCTGAGTTTGAGGCCAGCCCTGGTCTACAAATTGAGTTCCAGAACTGTTTCACAGAGAAACCCTATCTCGCTTAAAAAGAAAAAAAGTTATGTACTAGGCTGAAGTATGAACTGAACCCAGCCTGGATTACAAAGTGAGTTCCAGCCAGGTGAGACCATGTCTCAGAAAGAAAAGGACAGAAAACAAATGTCTGATGATAGAAAAGGCCATTCCTCATTTCGCCATGCCGAGGTTACACTTAGAAGTTACAATCAGAATTGTGGCTCCTTAAGTTTGATTGTGAAATCTTGGTCCTTGTTGTTCTAGACTTAATTTTCTTTTCTTTTTTTCTTTTTAAGATGCAAGAAAATATCACAGGGGAAAGGTCTCCAAAAAAGAAACCTGATACAAATACACATCAGGGAAAGAAAAGGAAGGCCCTACCAGCTACAGAGATCCCAGAAGCTTCAGGGCCTGAGACCGCAGGAAAGAAGCCAAGAAGTATGCCAGAAACCAGAAAACCAGAGGCCAAGTTCTTTAAACCCAGGAAATCTTCCAATGCCCCCAAAGACAAAAAAGCCCAAGTAGCCCACTCAAACTAAAATCAGGTTTCTCCGTTTGAAGGAACCCTAGCAGAGTTAACTGAAGAATACTTGGGCAGAGAGGGTGTGGTGTCATCCACTGTGGGACATAGAGACAGGCAGATCTGTGTGGATCTGAGGCCAGCCAGAACTACATCGTGAGACCCTGTCTCAACAGACATACTTGAACAAAATTGGGTGTGCACTCCTGCACTAACACTCAAGAAGCCAAGGCCAGAGAGTCAGGAGCTTGAGGGGAGCCTAGAGTTTGGCAAGAATCTGTCTTTAAAGACCAAAGTTCAGTCCTGGGCTTGGTGGTATAACACTTTGCTAGCATATGCAAGGTCCTGGCTTCAGTACCCAGAACTGTTTAAAAAAAAAAAAACAAAAAAAACAAATACCACACACCTGCACATAACAAAAGGTACTCTGGTCCTGACCCCATGCAGTCTTATCCAACAATTCATTTAATGTTTTTGTAAAGTTTCCAGGGGTGATTCTGAATTAATGTTTCTATTTGTAAAAGACTAGGGATTTGAAGCAAAAGCATCTATTTTTGTTGTTCAGTGTATTTCTTGATACGAGTGCTTATGTTGTGTTCTAATAAAGTGTGCATCTGCTCTGGTAAACGGTGCTGTGCAGTGGTGTTGTGCATCTCACCTGACTAATTTGAAGACATAGCCGCGGCTTTCCATCTCAACGGGAGAATTTAGTCACTTGAACTTGTTTGCTTTTTTTTTAAATGATTTTATTTAACTTTATGTTCATTGGTGTGAAGGTGTCAGATCTCATGGAACTGCATTTTCAGACAGTTGTGAGCTGCCATGTGGGTGCTGGGAATTGAACCTGGGTCCTCTGGAAGAGTAGTCAGTGTTCTTAACTGCTGAGCCATCTCTCCAGCCCAGTCACTGGAACTGTTAAACTCGCTTGTGCAAATACTCTAAGTTAGAGGGTTGATGGGTAATGACTCAGGCTAGGAGTACTGGCTTCTCTTCAGAGGACTCAGGTTCACTTCCCAGCAGCTTCACAGTGACTCAGGGCTCTAACTCCAGCTCCAGGGAGCTGAGGCCTTCTGGCCCCAGGCACCAGCCCAGAAATGATGCAGATGTATGTATATATGCAGACAAAACACCTAAACATTAAAAAAAAATTAAAAAATCAACTATAATTCCTTTTGTAGGTCTTAAAAGAAAGGAAGAAAGAAAAATCAACTACAAAATGGAACTGAGACGTTTCTTGTGCTCCTCCAGCTGGTTGCTGGGTTAATTTTGATAATGAGCTAGCACATAGGTTAAAGGGTATCCTGGAGTACCTCTGCGTAGTACTGTGGTTTTAGTCTCGGGCACCAGACCTCATTACAGATGGTTGTGAGCCACCTTGTGGTTGTTGGGAATTGAACTCGGGACCTTTGGAAGAGCAGGCAATGCTCTTAACCTCTGAGCCATCTCTCCAGCCCCCGGAGATGCTTTTTTTTTTTTTTAATTATGTATACAGTTGTTCCGCCAGCATGCATACCTGCACCCCGGAAGAGGGCACCAGATCTCATTATAGATGGTTGTGAGCCACCATGTGGTTGCTGGGAATTGAACTCAGGACCTTTGGTAGAGCAGTCAGTGCTCTTAACCCCTGAGCCATCTCTCCAGCCCCCGGAGATGCTTTTAAAAGAATATAAATGCAGAGTTAAAAACTTTTGACCCGGGCTGGAGAGATGGCTCAGAGGTTAAGAGCATTGCTTGCTCTTCCAAAGGTCCCGAGTTCAATTCCCAGCAACCACATGGTGGCTCACAACCATCTGTAATGGGGTCTGGTGTCCTCTTCTGGCCTGCAAGCATACACACAGACAGAATGTTGTATACATAATAAATAAATATTTAAAAAAAAAAACTTTTGACCCATTTGACAAAGTTTCTAGTTAATAGGAACAAAACTCAGTGGTAGAATGGTTAGCATACCTGATGTTTTATTTTAAAATGGTCTTAGCAGGGCGGTGGTGACGCACGCCTTTAATCCCAGCACTCGGGAGGCAGAGGGAGGTGGATCTCTGTGAGTTCGAGGCCATTCTGGTCTACAAGAGCTAGTTCCAGGACAGGAACCAAAAGCTACGGAGAAACCCTGTCTCAAAAAAAAAAAAAAAAAAAAAAAAGAAAAAGAAAAAAAAATGGTCTTAGTTAAATACAACCTGTGATTACACATACCTGTAGCGTCTTAGTTAAATACAACCTCTGTGACCACACACACCTGTAGTCCCAGCACCCAGCAGAGCGGCAAAATTGGAAGCTGTCAGATGACTTCTGTTCTCAGGCCTGGGAAATGCTGGGGCAGGTGTGTGTGAGCTACAAATCACCCGTGCTTAGTAACAACATCCTGGGCTGGGAGCCCTGATGCGGGCTTTTAATTCCAGCACTTAGAAAGTGGAGGGAGGAAGGTCTCTGAGTTATAGGACAGCCGGCCAGGACTACACAGTGAAACCCTGTCTTGAAAAAAAAAAAAAACGAAGAAAATGAAATTTATAACATCTTTACCAAATTCTAAGCAGGTGAAGACTCAGCATACTAGCCATCAGTAAAAAACCTCTTCCAATTTTGGCATTACCTTTTACGTAAGATAGTCCAGTGAGGACTCTCATGTATGCACTCCTTGTTAGGACGTTCTTAAGAATAATTGAGGCATTCACATTAGTGGGTGAAGAAAATACTGTGTTGCATGGACCCCACTCTCCCCATCATGAGTCCATGTTGCTTCAATTCTGCAATCAAGGGCCTAATGCATAAAAATGAGCCCAGCCATGCTGACTCTTCACTGAAGGACCCTTCCTCTTGAAAGTCCTCACTGCTTTGGAAGAACATTTCTAGCATTTGTTGACTGATTTAAGAGCTACTGTTTGAGCAGGTAAGAAAAGTCATTTCTTTCCTAGAAGTAAGTGCTAGTGTTCCTCGAAGGTCCAGCTTCACAGCTTTCTGCCTCTTTGCCTGCTAAGTTCCCACGGACGGGAACGTCTGCACAGGGAGAGGGTCTTAGCAGACATGCCCGTGGGAACTTAGACTTTCCCTGTGCAACAAACAGCTGTTTGTCTGAAAATACTAAGATTCTGGATTTGGGGACTGAAGAGAGGGTTCTTTTTTGTTGTTGTTGTTTTGTTTTGTTTTTTGAGACAGGATTTCTCTGTGGCTTTGGAGCCTGTCCTGGAACTAGCTCTGTAGACCAGGCTGGTCTCGAACTCACAGAGATCCGCCTGCCTCTGCCTCGGAGTGCTGGGATTAAAGGCGTGCACCACCACAGCCCAGCCTGAAGAGAGGGTTCTTAACAGCAGTTAAGAACTCTTGTTCTTGGGGGCTGCAGAGATGGCTCAGAGGTTAAGAGCATTGCCTGCTCTACCAAAGGTCCTGAGTTCAATTCCCAGCAACCACATGGTGGCTCACAACCATCTGTAATGGGGTCTGGTGCCCTCTTCTGGCCAGCAGGCATACACACAGACAGAATATTGTATACATAATAAATAAATAAATATTTAAAAAAAAAAAAAAAAAAAAGAACTCTTGTTCTTGTAGAGGACCCAGGTTCTTTTCCTAGCATCCACATAACTGTTCACAACACAACCTTCCCTAACTCCAATCCTAGGGGTTCTGATCCCCTCTTCTGAACTCTGAGGATGCCAAGCATGCATGTGTGTACAAAGAATACACAAACAACAAAACATTTTTTAAAAAACACAGAATTTATTTATTTATTTAGTTAGTTATTGTCTTGGGTTTTCGGAGACACTTTCTCTGTGCAATAGCTCTAGCTGTCCTGGAACTAGCTCTGCAAACCAAACTAGCCTAAAGCTCAGATCTGCCTGCATCTGCCTCCCAAGTACTAGGCTTAAAGGTGTGTCACTTAGGTTGTTTTTTCTTGTGGTTTTCTATTTTCCCTTTTTTCCTTTCCCTCCCTCTGTCTCTCTGTCTCTCCTCTTTTGCTGGTGTTTAGAGGGGTTTTGTTTTTACTTTTCATTGGTTTTATCTGTTTGCTTTGAGAGTGTGTTTCACCATGTACCGACTCGGGCCTGGAATTCAGCTTCCAAGTTCTAGGATTACAGGCACATGCCATCTCGTCAGTCTAGTCCACATTCATCTTTGAATTTTACTTCTTATATTAAGTATAACAAGTCACAGCTGGGGGGAGGGGGTGCGTGCCTTTATCCCAGCACTCGGGAAGCCGAGGCAGGCAGATCTCTGAGTTCAAGACCAATCTGGTCTACAAAGTGAGTTCCAGGAAAGGCTCTAAAACTACACAGAGAAACCCTGTCCCAGGGGAGAGAAAAAAAAAAAAAAAAAAAAAAAAACACTTGAGGGAGAGGCAATGCTCCATTCTTACTAGCCTTTCCAGAGTCTTGAATGACCTGCTACCACCTTTAACAATAGCTATTTTTTTTTCCCCATGAGATGGGATCTCACCATGCAGCTCTGGCTGTCCTGGAAATTCACCTGCTGCTTTTGCTTCAGGAGTAGAGGGTTGAAAGGTGTGTGCCAACACCTGGCTATGTAGGATCTTTTATTACCACTGAGAACCACAGTGGAGCTGTGGGTGTTGCTCAGGAGTAGAGGGCTTCCCTACCACCTGTGGTGCGCACCCCACCACCCCACCTGCCTCACTGTAAGAAGTGTTAAACTAGGGCTGGAGAGATGGCTCAGTGGTTAAGAGCATTGCCTGCTCTTCCAAAGGTCCTGAGTTCAATTCCCAGCAACCACATGGCAGCTCACAACCATCTGTAAAGAGGTCTGGTGCCCTCTTCTGGCCTTCAGGCATACACACAGAATATTGTATACATAATAAATAAATAATTATTTAAAAAAAAAAGAAGTGTTAAGTGTTAAACTAGCTTGTGCTTTGAGACAGTTTCTACATAGCCTTGGCTGTCCTGGTACTTGCTGGGAATTCTGAATCTTCCTACCTCAGCCTCCCAAGTACTGGTTTATGAGCACACCCAACCAGGTAGCTCTCCATAACCTTGTGCTGTTTCTGACTGTACTCTCCCCTTCAACCACTGCAGGAAAATAACTACAGTGTACCAACCTCTTCAAATGGATGCGATTAGAAGTCTCCTGCCAAGGGAGAAGCCTGTTTGCTGTCATTACCTCTTCGACTGTTCCTGGTGGCAGACACTAGTCTTCATCATGGGAGTCCTGACTCTGACTCTGGGCCTCATTCTCATTGTCTACAACTCCTACCAAAACGTGGCTTTCTCTGTTGGAATATGCATGACAGTTGCAAGCTTTATTTTCATTGTACTCACTCGTGTGAAAGTTTTGCCTAACAATGAGAATTTGACAGAAGAATCAGAGTTAAGAACCGAGTCAGAAATTTCCTTATGCACCTCCCAGACTTCAGTAGCCAGCACCGGCGTGTAACTCTACATTGAACTTGATATTTAAATGTCCCCTGAACCTTTAAATCAACATTAAAAATACAAATAAAAATTGCCTTTTAGTAGCCTGTCTCCTAATAAAGCACAAAAGCAAGAATACCCGAAGGTAAAAGCCTTTTGTCTCATTTTGTTCCTGTTATCTGTGGGACAATAGATTTTTTTTGTAGGAAGCAGTGATTTTTCTCACATTCATGCCATGGGCCGGAATCGTCAGTAGCTGACTCT